TTAAGTTTCCCATGTGAAAGTTTGGACAGCAAACACAAATTTCTACTAAGATGAATGTGATGCATATCAAGAAATAACTTCCATTATAATAAAAAAAATAATTAAAACACATAAATTCTTTGCCCTTACTTTGTAAATGTTTCTAACTACAGTAAAGGGTCACTTTTGCCCAGACAGAGCACTAGTTTCTACTGTGACACAGCTTTCAGTTCTTGCTGATTAGATTGCTTGCGTACAAGTCCACGATACTCAGTTGAAGAAAAAAGATTTTTCAGGAAATCATGTATTTCAAGAGCAGAGTGGGAGTGGATTCAGGTTAATTTTACCCCCTCTGGCTCTCCTTCCCTCAGCCACTTCCGCCAAAGCTGGCAGTCACTGAAATATTATTTTGGGCATTGCTAAATGTCAGGTATTTGGTGCTGCTCATAAATCATGGCTGTGTGGGAGGATGTTCCATACAGAACCTTTATGGGATGTGTGAATCCCAGGTCATTTCCTCTTTGGCTTAATTAGGGTAGAAACTTAAAGTTTGCTCTTCAATTACTAGGAGAGGAAACTTTTGTTACAGATTTGTTTTAGCCTGAGCCCTGCAGTCTTGCGGTGCAGTTCATCGTTACCAATTTTAATCACAGGGGGCTGGAACACATTTCCCTTTCCGCATCCAAATATCTGCTGTAGAATCACTTTTAAGAAAGTCACCAAGTATTTAAGCCAACTGATGCAAAGCAGAATATCTCTTAACAAGAAACTGTCCAAGCCCCCATTATTAGGTCTCTCCATGAGAGCCAGGAGACTGAAATTCGAGTCTGGCTATGGATATCACAGAGGACAGATCTGATTTGCCATCTGTGATATCTTAGCTGACCGGTGTGGCTGTAAGTCATGAGGTCGGACAACAGCAGCGTGTCACTATCTCCTCTTCCTCACTGTCCTCTCTGCTTCATGAATAATGGGTACAAGCTAAAACACAGGAAGTTCCACCTCAACATGAGGAGAAACTTTACAGTGAGGGTGACAGAGCACTGGCACAGGCTGCCCAGAGAGGCTGTGGAGTCTCCTTCTCTGAAGACTTTCAAAACCCGCCTGGATGCGTCACTGTGTGGCTGCCCTAGGGGATCCTGCTCTGGCAGGGGGGTTGAGCTAGATGGTCTCTAGAGGTCCCTTCCAGCCCCTGACATTCTGTGATAGTGCTGAGATTGCCAAGTCCTGGATGTCCTTGAATGCTTAGGAATCAAGTGGAGGAAGTGTTCTTGCCTTGATCTGTGCCAAAAAAACTGTTATGGAATATGTTCTGCGCAGAGGAAGATAGTCTGCTAGATGTATCTTAGAGCTAGAATCTCCAAAATCTTAATACTCAAAATGCCATTTGAAGGGAAGGGGGTGATTTCTCAGATTTATCATTGGTACCTATATACATTGCTGTTCACTTGTGTGATTGGTGTTTGGATTTCAGGTTTTGTCTTAGTAGCATTTCATAGTATTTTTAATTGGCAGTGTTCTCTTCCAAAACCTTTCTCATGTAATTGTTACATGGGATAAAACTGAGCAGATGGTCATACATAGTGTCCTATCAGGAACTGTTAAATAGATTTTGGTGTGAAAGTAAAGTTAGTCTGAGCTGTATTAAGTGTGCAGGTAACAGTGAAGATTCTTCTGTATGCTACAAATACTAACCAGGAAAATCCATACTAAATATGGAGATACGAATTCAGTCAAAGATAGGTTTTTACTTCCAGGAACAAAATACAGAGAGACTGTGCCGTTATTGCTGTAAACACTCTTATGCAAAAATTACTATTTTTTTTATGCATATACAGTATCTGCAGCAATCAAGTGTTTAAAAGTGAACTTCATCTCACCTGATTCTTGGTGTCTAAAAGTAAAGCAATAAAGCATTTCTGCTTTCTCTGCGATAGCTGAGAGAAGACAGGTATGTCTGTTGGTGATCCGTCCCACCCGAAACACGGCGTCTAAGCTGAAAGGGATGAATTTTTCTCCGGTGGGGACCTGCTTGGCCTTTACACGGCAGCAGGCAAGATGGGAACTGTCCACAGTCGATAGGCAACAGAGGTTCTCCGGTGAAATGTTTGTCCTTTAAATGGGTGGTTGCCTTAATAGGAGTTTTCTTGTATCTATTAATGCTTTATTGCAGTTGCTAGATTACCCCCTCCCGCCCCAGAACTTCCTCTCTGAGGTTCCTTGTCTGTCTCCCAAGCAGTTTCTGTCTTGAGTTTAGGGAAAGAAAAGGAAAGGAAAATAACTGGTGTAGTTTCTTCTTTTTTGTTTATTTGTTTCTTTTTTTTTAAAATCAAAAATGAGCTTTCTAACTAAAACAAAGGACTGTGTATCCCCTGATTATTTGTTTTATAAGGAGAGAAGGAAAAAGCAAAGATCACTCAGTATGTTAGATTAGAAACTGATACCTCAGGAGATTCAGTACACAATAAAAGTTACTTGACTATTAGGTTTTATTTAGCGAGATGAAATTTCTCTTCAGAGCAGAGGTCAGAAGTCTCAGGATTGTGGAATGTGTGCTGGAGAGGTAGGAACTCAAAGCATTATTAGGAAGAAATGCCTTATTTCTCTGGAGTGTACCAGTGACCCAGCCTTTCAGAAGCTCTATACCTGTACATATACTTCTATGCTTTGTAACTTCTCCCTTCTTTTTCTTTCAGTGTACTTACATTCTTTTGTTGGACAATAGATCTTCAAGATTCTTAATTTAGCCTGGTTTTAGATGTATGTGAACGAAAAAAGAAATTCTAACCAGTAGTCAAGATGACAGTTGTGAGGAAACACGAAAAGGGGCCAGACAATAACAGCAACAGCCAAATCTTGACTGTTTTGGGAGCAGAACTTCAGCAAAATTAGTTCCTGGATTGCTCATAACAAATTTAAGAGTAGTTTGGAAGTATAAGGATTTCTGAAATCAGATTTCGTTATAGAATCTGCTGGGGACATCTTTCCTGGTTTTAAAAAATGAAGCGTCACGAAACATTGGCATACTAAAGTTGACATACTAGAATAAACTGGTGATTCATCTTAGTGGGAAGTAGAGCAGTAATCATTTTAAGCGTACTCATTTTAAGCGTACTGAAGGAGTTTGGTGAAGCTGGTAATGTACAGAAATATTCTAATTAAAAGCAGCTAGAAAATGAGGTTGCGGTAAACGATATTTGTATCTCCAGAAATTTGGGGAGAGGATCTGAGTTCGTTCTTACATAATACCTTGCTAACCTCTGGGGCTCAGTGCCATATGATACCTAATCAGAAGAGCTTAGTATGGTTCAAAAGTAATTGGACTGTTGGATGTATAACATTCATTCATACAGGAAAAAAAACCAAACATAAACCTGGTCGTTAGATTCCCCAGGACCTGATTTTATTGTAACCAACTCAAATTAAACATAATTGTTAATGAACGTAACACAGCAGGGGCAAAGCAGACCAGCTGAAGGAAAGCTGAGCTGTGTGCATTGGTGCAGGTTAATGTTAATGAATAAAAATTTTTCTTAAAATCTTTGAAAGTAAGTCTTTTTGGTTTTTGGTATGCCACAGCTAATTCTTAGGTACGTTTTAAAATTCCATCCTTGTGCAGCTGTTAAATACACTTGCTTCTAAATTGTAATGATTTAGTAGTAGCTCAACAGTACGAGTTGCGTAAAACTTGTGATCGGTTCAAAATTATTTAAGGAGCTGAACGTAAGAGAAGACTTGGGGTGTTCACTTGGGGTCCCAAGGAGGGTGGGCACCTGGCAGGCTGTGACACGGAGCCCAAGTCAAGACCCGTGCAAGTGTGTGGAAGGATTTTATTCTGTAGTAGCTCCTAATGTCAGTGCAGCTGGGTGTTGAGACAAGTTGTCAGGCTCGGAGCAGTGGGTGGTGTTTCAGTCTTGGGCTTCCAGCATGCAAACAGTGCCCAGACAGACAGAAGCAGTGTTGGGGTGAAACACGCTGCTAAATTCTGGTAGCCTGTTTTTGAAAAAGAAGATATTAGAAAAATTGGAATCGGATGCAATGAATATGTGAGGATATGTATATTCTGTAATTAATAATTTACAAGAAGCATGGTGGTCGGTGTTTATTTTGACCACAATAAAAAACAGAGGGGCATTCAGTGCCCTGAACATTAATTAAAAACGGCTTCCTTATTCCTTACGTAATGTCTTACTAACCTGTGGAGCTCAGTGCCATATGATAGCTAATCTGAAGAGCTTAATAATGTTAAAAAATAATTAAACTTTTGGATGGATACCATCTTCTGTTATCTTACATGGGAAAAAGATAAACTCTTCAGCTTCACAGATGAGTTGGTAATGACCAACATTGAAAAATTTCACTGTCAGCCATTGCTCATTAAAACAGGTTGAGTATCAGTCTTTGCTTCTGCTTGGTGAGGAGAGAGAACGAGGGCAGACTTGTCGTTACAGCTAGTCATTACTGCTTACTGAAAAAACACTTTTGCAAATGGTCTGTGTCTGAATCACCACCTCAGTTTTGCTGCGGAAGTTATAAAAAGTCTGATGTACTGCTTGTCTCGGGATGTTTGTACTTAAATAGTGCGATGGGGCTGTCATCAGAAAAGCAACTAAAATTAGTCTCACCCTTACTGGTAGATTTTTATCATGGCAATTTTATTTTTTTTTATTGGAGGTATGTGTTTACCATGTGTGCCTTCTGTTGTCATTGCTTAAGTCCTACAGCGGGGAGAGTATTGCTTTGTTTGCATACAAATACCAGGGCATCGTTTATGGAAACCCTGTTGATATTGCTTATACCTGAACTAGGGAGAGAACAATGTAGCTGTCAAATTGCCAGTTGTTATGAGTGTGTTACATTAGTTGGCAGAATATGACAGATCTTTTTTTTTTGTTTTGTTTGTTTCAATCTTTCTTTGTAAAAACAACTTATATGATCAGATCTATTTTATGAATTTGTTTTGGATCTTAGGAGGTTTAAATCAGCAAACATCTTAAAGTTATCTGTGGTTTCTTTTGCAGGGTATTATAGAAAAATCAAAAGTGAAAGGAATTCCTATAATTATTGATGCTGTAAGTATTTTCTTGATTCAGTCAGTGATTTGACATTTAAGAATCACTTCAGTAAATGTTGTTCTTACTGTTTTTTGCAGGATGGACTGTGGCTTATTTCCCAGCAACCTTCTCTTATACAAGGCTACCAGCGAGCTATTCTTACTCCAAACTATATGGAGTTTAGTAGACTGTATGAAGCCATGGTGAGCTGTTTTCCTTTTTGATACTGAAGTACGTGCAAATTTAGTCTTTTAGTCTTAAAAAACCCCCAATTTAATACAGGCTTAAACATTCTGGACTGTTTCTTATATGCGAGAGAAGCATTCTCTGGGGTTTTATTCTATGGGATAATTGCCACAAGAATGCATGTTCTTAAACAGAAGACCATTATGCATTTTTTGGTACTTCAGTGGGTATAGAAAAAAAAACCAAACACCTGGAATGAGTGATGATGATACTGCTTTTTTTTTTATTCCCCCCCCATATACACACATGTGTTAGAATATGTCGTTCTAGTAGTAAAATCTGTACTGTGTGTGGAATTCTTGTGTTGTAGCTTAGAGACCCCGTAGACAGTAGCGATCATCATGGATGTGTATTAAGACTCAGCCAAGCCATGGGGAATTTGACAATTATTCAAAAGGGAGAAAGAGATCTTATTTCAGATGGAGAGAAAGGTAAGTGAAGCCGCCTGCTTTTAGTGATGCAGGTTTTTGTTTTGTTTTGTTTGCTTTCATTCGCAGTCCAGTGGTTGGACTCTGCAGTAGTTGTTGACTGTATTCCCCTGAAGACTGAAGGGGAGGGATGGCTGTCTTTGCGGATCACCTTTGTGTAATTTGCTGTTTAGAAGAGTGCAACTTCTTTGCTGGAACAAGTTGATGATTTTATTTCTCATTTAAACAGCTGTAACAGGTTCTATATTAGGCAAGTATAAAGAAATGAATTGCTTTATGTTTGTGAACTGTTTTAAAATCCTTAGCTGAGGTGGTCTATAGAAGTCATTGCTAAATTAACGCAGAAGAATATTGTTGTTTCACCATATCTTAGTGTGTGTGAAAAATGAAGACGTCTTGAGGTTCATGAGCTGCTCAGTTCCTTGATCCTGTCTACCAAGGGGCTGCAGATTATTAGCATGTGCATATATGACTTGTACATTAGCCCAAAACAAATTAACTCTAGATTGCCATTACAACTTATTTTTTTTTAGACACTTACTAACATGGTTAAAGTATACTTAATAAAGTTAATGCTTTTTTATACTGATCATTTACTGTGACCAGTATAAAATTAATTCATGAGTTACTTTGTTGCATTTTGACTACATGGTCTTGTTTCACATTCATAACAAGCTGCAACTCTGCTTCTAATTACTTGCAGTGCTAATCTCTGATGAATGTTTATGCTGCTTCAGAACCATTCTGCATTTACGGTCAGTTTTTCATTATTGGGAGCCAGGGGAGTCTTTTGTAACAGAAAAAAGGATTTAATATGACAACTGGTTTGTGCAGAGCCGCATTCTGTGTACCCCTGTCGGTACAGATACTCTAGCAGACTGGGAAGCAAGCTGGAATCTGGAAGCAATTTAGTTACACCTGCGTGGTGAAGGGCTGTGGTCAGTCGTAGCATCCCCGGGCTGCCCAGCATGAAGTCTCCTGTCAGATTTGCACCCACAGCAGACTTGGTTTGTGACCTTGGAGTGTCAGGACAGGTTTTAGGGAGGATGAACTGTGCCAGTGGATAAAACATCCTGGCTCTGGTTTATGCCAGCAAGAGAGCTTTAGAGCACTGTAGTGTATCTTCTTTCTTTGCTTTTGTATCAGTGATGTTCTTTTCGTGCAGGATTGTTTTTTAAATGAATGCCTGGAAAACTAGATGTAAGCGCTTTAGATTGAGCACATTACCTAGTACATCTCTGTTCTTCCTTTGAGCTGTTACTCTTGAGATGAGTGTAGCCTCACCATTGCTGAAGTGAGAGCACACTCCATCTCCGTTATCTCTTCTCATGCAGGATTCAATAAAACAGGAAAAAAACTGAAAGTCTTTACGATCTCAATTTTGAGTGTTCAGGTGTGGCATGTTCGGTGCGTGTCTCGTGTGCTCTGGGGGCTTTTTGTGGGTTTGTTTTTTTGCCCCACCGTGTTTTTTGTTTTGTTCTGATTTATTTTTCTTTTGTCCTAGTTAAGTATCTCTTTGATTTGAAATAAAAACAGTTTTGTGCCTTTATAGCAGTTGTTTGATGTCCAGCTATAGGCTGCTTTCTTGTTCTTTCACTGCTGCATTCTCTCTCCTGGATTACAGACATTACAGGCAGCACTGCTGAGCTCTAAGAAAGCAGTTTTCGGGTTTAATACAGGTTATAATGTCTGTTACAAATGCTGGTTTTAGCGTTTGTTGTTGCTTGCAAGAAGGTTCCTGAGAATTTTTCAGAAACTATATAGATTTCAGCTTCCTTTTAATAAGAGTGTTCTTCGGGTTTGGGAGTCACTGTCTGTCAATTTTTAAAAAGCTTCTCAAATGCAAAATCACGTTGAGAAATGAGGTTCTGTTGTCTGCTCTGTGCCACCACACAGAACATGTTGTCATGTCACTGACCTTGACTTCTCTCCCAGGTTTTTTGCTCTTAACTTCTTTTTTCATCTGTCTGCTTTTTTTGATCTGATGTCTTTTTTTCAGCTAAGACAACATGCATCATGATGCCAGTGTGAGGGAAATCCAGATCATTGGATCAAGCCAATGTCCTCTGAGCACAATCAAATATTATGAAAAGATCTATGTAGTCCTCTTGCCTTTTTATTTTTTACATCATCATCCATTTGTAGTGCTTAAGCCGTACCTATTGTCAGGCATTTCCTGCTTGAGCTCATGTGCTTAGCACACTGATACTGTAGTTTCCATACATCACTTTGAAACTTTCTCCATTGGGAATATACTGCATGCATGCTTTCTGGAAGGAAGGGGAGGAAAAAAAAGTGTCAATGCTCTCCAGGAAAACCAGAAATTGCAAACTTAACTGTCTAGCTTTAGTGTTCTGTGCTTGGCTGTTGCAGAAGGAAGACTTTTTGAGGATGTCGAATTTTTCAGCAGGGAAGCCTGGCTTGGTGAATACTTCATAGCATAGAGTGACTGTAGCAGTTATTTTCACAGCACTTTTATTCATGAGTCTGCGGGAAATTCAGCAGACAATTTACTTCTGTTAGTTGCAGACAAAAAAGGTTATCGGGTGATTTGATAGCGAGCTGGAAGTGCAGGGGTTGGTGAAGGACTGCTGTCAGCAGATAGCTCTGTAAGCCAAGTAGACAGGCACAATAAATTGTGATGAGAAGCTTCAAGTTAAAAGTAAGGCAGATTTTTATTAACAAGTAAAGAAATCAGCTGTGACAAGAACATACCTAGAACTTGGGTAGATTGCCAAACGATGAGGTTCCTGGATGCCTTCTGAGGTTTGTTTTTACAGGTCAGGTTAGATGATGCAAGTGGTTCCTTACGGCCTTAAAATCAGTAATGGGTCACACACTTGGCCTCTGTGAAATCAGTAGCAGCCCTCCACTACAGAGGAGATTTTCGTAAAATTTGTCTCCCATTTCAGATATGAGCTGCCAGCTGCCCTGTAAACAAAATCACCAAGATTTTAAATTAAGTTTTATATACTCTTTTTCTCTTTCCTTTTGCAATTTCACATTATAGCTTGGTCTACAGTTGTTGATTCCCTGCTCTACAAAGATGAGCTTCACCATGCTCTTGGTAGGTGCTATCAGTGCCATCACTGACCAGGGTAGGAATGAGTACTCAGCCTGTGGGTAAAAGGTAAGTCAGCTTTTATTCACTATGGCACAGCTCTCTAAGGTTTTAATTTTATTATTCTTTGGAGAACTGGTCAATAGTAAAGTGTGGTTATACCAGTTTTAGTTCCTAACAAGTTTAAAATTTGGTTAGGTCCTTGAAGGAGAGGGTTTGGATTTTTGGTTTTAAATGTTACGAGTTTTTCTGTATTTTCCCCAGCACCTGTGTTTGTCTTCTACTGCCTTTTGACAAGCAGGCCTTATGGGTGACCGGCCCTCTGCTGCCTGCAACTACTTTTACTTGGAGCCAGTAGTCAAATGTAGTTTCTCACCGCTTGCCCAGCTGCAGCTGTGGGCAAGAGAAGCACAGAAGCACATGAGAGCGATTGCTGAGTGCTGAATATGGGGTAAAAAAAGCCAACTCTTGCCATAAATCCCCAGGCAGTACTTCTGATTTCTGCCATTCGTTCCCTACGCAGCCAGAAAGGAAGCTCTTCAGTGCTCGTCAGTCCCTGACTCGCTCTGCTAAGAGCTCTTACAGTGTCCGGCTGCCCAGCAAATTTTGCCCAGATTTTTCACTGAGCAGCAGCACCTTTGTCTGCAGCCCTGCTTCTGCGGCGTGAGTGATACCGGGAGGTCACAGTTCCCGTCCGTGGGGTCCACCCTTTCCTCTGCATGCACAGCCCAGCCTGCTGCCTGGCACAGCTCACCTGTCATCACAGCCCCCCCGGCTCCTGTAGCCACCTGAGAAAAGTACTGAGAAAAGTAATGCAAAATTTGGATATTTGAAGTGCCCGGTGTCTCACGCTCAAGGACTTATCTAAGTTTTAAAAGTGTGATTAGGGAATATAAAAGTATAAGCACCCTTTATATAAAAGCCAACTTACATTTTCCACATCAACTGAGTGATTCCTCCGGCTGAAGTCATTAATCTCGGTTTCTCTGTCTGTGTCCACTCTCAGACACATTCCTGGGAGTCCACAATGTACAGCTGTGTGCTTTTGTGAACTAACTTGCAAAAGGAAAAAGATAAATTTCTCACTAGTGCGAGTATCTGCCAGATCAGAGATGGATATTGGTAAAAGATTTTACTCAAGATCTGGAAACAGCCTAAACCTGAATATCGCATTTGATGGAGCAGCATGGTCTTTGATAGCTACATTATTTTGAGTAGAAAATGCAAATGTTCAGGCTTTTTATTAAATGAGAGTGTGTGTGGTTCCGTGGGGTAGCTGGCATTAGCTGGTCCAATCCGGCTGGATCATACGAGAAATCAGAATGGTCGTGCCTTTCATACACGGATTCCTGAGCACATTAGGATAAGTGTAGCAGTCCTGCTCTGTAAGAGGAAAACAAGTGCAAAGAACTTGTTCAGGATGTCTGAGATGCAAGAATTAAGTTTTAATCTCCACGCTGTCTTGTGGTCTGCAGTCTCAGTAAATGTGATGTTTCACAGAGGCTCTTCAGCCTCCTTTGTTATCATCAGGATTACATGTTTAGCCTTAATGAGCCATCCCATATTTCACATTCTGAGTTCTAAAAACAAGCATAAAAATGGAATCCTTGGGTTGGTTGGGGTTTTTTTGTGTGTTTGATTTTTTTTTTCCTACTACTATGTGAGCATTGTGAATCAAGAACACACAAACATACATTACTTTTTATACAACATGGGCCTTGGTTTTCTAACTGTAACATGTCTAGAAATTAGTTGTAAGTAGGGCTGCCTGCGTACAGCCTTATCAAAATTTGTGCTTCCCAGTTAACTTGTAGTGCTTGATCTCAGCAAAACTATTAAATCCTTTTTTTTTTTTTTTTTTTCCCCTTCAAAGAGAGGACAGTTATGTTCTGTTACATAACAGACTGGGGTTTTTTTTAATTAAGCACAATACGCGTAAATGGGTCATTCTTCTGGGCTTTGATCTGCCAGCACAGTTGGGATGGGAGTTCTTTCAGCTTAAAACTTGCTGGCAGTGGTGTAGTTAAGTGTGACACCACAGTCTGAAAGCTTCCCCAAATGCTAATGTTTGTCTTATCTTCAAGGCATACTGAGAAGAGAGTGATGGCAACTTATTTTATGGCCTGAAATAGATTAAACATAGCGCTACTAAACGACTTTGCCATAGTTACCCAGGATGTCTGGGGCAGAATTTTGAATTGTGTGGAGCCTAGAACTCCTGAATTTCTACTTTGCAATATTCTGTCAGTACGACAGCTTGTAATTTTTGGTTTCTGTTGCACTCATATTTCGGTACAAGTTGTTTCCGTGGACTTAGGTAAGCGAGAAATCCGTGTGACTGTGTTTGAGGGACGTGTTGTATTTGCTGCGTACAGCTCTGACAGTATTTATGTGCATTTTAATTGCTGAGACTGTGTTGAAACTGTTGAATAGGGCTGTGGTTGTTGTGACTCTAGATCTCCTTGCCATACTTCATTCAGTGATTTCTTCAGCAATAGCATTTTTCTTTCATCTTGCCTTTCCTTAGGAAAGTACATGTATGCTCCCTGGGTAGGTGCTAGGGAGCTGGTTTTTTAAAGGGGTTTTTGTTTGTTGGTTTCTTTTTTTTTTCACTGGAAGTTACATAGCATAAATCAGCTTTCATTGAAAGACTGTCTGTTAATTATACTGAGTGGCTGGTTTTGGTTCATCACTTTGTGAAATAATGACATCAGATGTTGTTGCCCAGACCAAAAAAAAACCAAAACAAGACACCCTGCCCCAGCAGCCAATTTGACCAGCATTACTCATGTGTTTCTACCTCTTAAGGTCTGTCAGGTGAACTGTAGATGAACCTCTCCATTATTGTGATTGGGGCTGCTGTTGAACTAATTGCCTTTAAGTGGCCCCATTGCTGCCTTTCAGCACGGACAAGCTGCAGTCATTTGGGTCTCAAACTGACAGTTTCCCCTGTTGTCCAGCATTGAATTGTCTTGGTTTCCTCACCTATTGCAAAAGCCACGTTCTCTCGGCTTTCTGATGTCCCTCTTCATCCCTAGTTGAACGCGATACAGCCTTGCCGAGCAATGGACCCAAAAATACCTGGTCCTCTTGTAAATACATTGTTCTACATCTCTTGAGGGAGGGAGCAGAAGCGCCACCTTCTCAGCATTGTCGCTGACTGTTCAGTCCTGCCCACCTGACTGAGGTCTTGTAGCATTGTCACTGCCCAGGCAGCGTGTGGGGACATCACCCCCGAGGTCCTTAAGAACTGCTCGAGCTATCTTTGCAGTGTTGCAGACCCGTAGAGGGGGATGTTGGATTGGGGGAGCGGGGAGACAGCACTTTTATAGTTCGTTGTTCTGGGAGAAGGCTGGACAGAGTATGAGGAAGACTGTGTCCTTTGTGAGTTTGGCAGTGTGCTAGTTTGTCTTGGTGGTAGCGTGGGATTCCGTCTTTTATTTTACAAGCTCTTAACAGTGACTGTACTTCAGAGGAGTTTTTCATTCCTTCCCCCCCTCCATTGCCTGTTGTGATGTTCGTCATCCTTTTCTTTGGAGATGTTCTTTGAGGAACTGAGCTGCGGTGAAAAATTGCCCGAGCGTTACACCTTTCCTCCCTCATTCAAGTGGATTTCCTGTAGTTCTGCTTCTTTGAAGGTATTGCGTGGATTTGTTTTCCAGCATCTCTGTGCAGAGTACAAAGGTCTGCTTTTGTTGTTGCCTGTGAAGTAGTCGGCACATATTTGAGACTTACTTGAAAAACCACAAACAAAAGACTACTTTTTTTTTTTTTTTGTAGCAGGGTATTATAATTGGCCTAGTTTAAGGAGATCTTGCTTTCCTGTACAGCTTAAAACTGACTGGAAGGTTGTGGGGCTACAGAATAGTGGCAGATGGTGACACACAGCTAATAAGCAGGGGCTTGTGCTCAGCTGTCAGTCAGAAAGGCCCCAAAGCTTTTGAACAGAGGATTTCCATCCTGCCTCCTGCCAGGAGTTCAAGCCCTCAAAGTGAAAATCCTGTGAGATACCATCTTCAAAGTAGCAGAATTAGAGGTAATTTCTCCAAAGCACCGTATTTAAAAAAAAGAAAAAAAAAAGAAAAAAATAAACCACACCATCTAAAAGGGCATACCTTCTTCAGATTGCTAACTCAGAGGATCATTATGCCTGTGAAATTTGACATTAACCACTGCTCACTGAGAAACACATCCAGAATCTTAATCTGAGGTGGAGGGGGGATGGGAGAAGAGGGAAAATTAACTGCTGGCAACGCTGCGGCAGTGTCTGCTGCGTTCGTGGCGACTAATGAATCTTGCCCCTCTCAGAGGCGGCAAAAATGCACAAGTGCGTGGCCTCAGGAGCCCAGCAATTACTGCTGGAAGAGTCAGTAGGAAGTGGAAGTGAAGCGCAATTCTTTGCTGCGCTGAGTAACAAAAAGCAGAAACGAACAATACTCATGAAACGAAAAGGAGTTTACTTGCATTGAGGAGTTTTTTTAGCTCTTACTGGTTAAGATTTACCTGCAAATACTTCAGTTTTGTGCAGATTTTGCCCGTTATTTTGTAAGGGAAAAAAATTACTTCTGAAAATATGGATAGGACTCCCATCTAAAACACCTGGACTGCTCTCATCATACACCTTGGAGCAACCCAGCCCAGGTGACTTGAGAAAACGGAGGTAAGAGCCGTTGTCCCAAGCAGCGTCTTGCTTTATACTTTGCTCCTGTTCTCGGCACACTCGGGAGCGCACAAACCATTTGTGTGCGTAGTCCTGAACCCGAGTAGCTCGACAGTGGCTGACTGGAGGACGCTGAGGATCACTGCTTGGCCACCAGTGATTGTGCCAGCTCTTCCATTCTAGGAGAGGAAAATAATTTTCTCCTGGGTTTGTTTTTCAGAGCCAAGCAAGGAGAGCTAAGGGTAGATGCATTCCCACAAGAGAATTTGGAGAAGGGTAGCAGAACTGATTCTGTTTTGGTTTTGTGTGTCTTGTGTATCCTTCAGGCTTCCTGCTTGGGCTTGTTGAGTGCAGAGAACAAAAGGAGTTAAATTTAGTGAAATCATTTGCATGTTCTTTGTAGTTACAGCTCCACAGAGAGATCAGTTTGGCAGAGGTCCTTTGTATATTGATAATGTATCATCTGATATTCTGACGGAGCCTGTCCACAGCAACACTGCTGACAGAAACATACGTGGATGCCGAGGACGCTGCTGATGAGCAGAAAAAGAGCTTTCTCTTTGCACATGGTTTCTACAAAGTTCAAGGAGAAGGCTGGTTTCAGTAAAATACCCTTCTGATGGACAGAAGATCGGAGGTTTTAGTTCTGGTTTGCGTTTGCTTTTTGTAAAGCCCCGTGGTTTGCATCTGAGAACTCCAAAGATCAGAGAATCTGGAGAATTGTGCAGTGGCTCGGTGGAGGGACCTGGTCCAGCTTGGGGTGATTGCTCGTTGTGGCAGCATCAGTTCACATGAATCACTAAACTCATTAGTGATGGAATCTTCTGTGCAGGCTGAGCGAAGCCAAGAAAGCATACGCATTGCGCAGTGCTGTTTGTAAAGTATTGAAAAGTAATTGGAAAAGTGTTCTTTAAATGTTAATGCAATGGTTGTGATTTTATAATTTTTTTTTAAATCGTGTATTTCAGCACATGCTCCTGCCTGTGATTAATCTCTCATCTGTTAATTGCCATGTTCCTCAGAGGTTAACCCTCACAGCTACAGTGATATCATTGTAAAGGGAAGAAAAAATGCACATGACTTTGTTTTTGCTTTGTTCGTAGTACTTGTATGCAGTCACGAAGGAAGCAGCCGGAGATGTGGAGGACAGGGGGACCTCCTGGCTGGGTCTCTTGGAGTCTTAGCGCACTGGGCATTTCTTGCTGGAGCAGAAAAAACAAATGGGTATGAGCATGAATTAATAACTTCTTCATTCTTGCGAGTCTGTGTTCTCCTACGGCAACTGTTCTAGACCTATCAAAGAGCTTTCCAAATGAAATTGGAATCATTGGGATCTATGTACTTTTAAGAAATGTAAGGGGGTCTAGAGCAGTCTACACAGTAGTTACGATTCTAATAAGACACTCTTCAGTTATCTAACATCTCCCAAGTTTGAGGCAGAAGAGTGTGAATCTGGATTGATTTCCAAGGACATAAACGCAGGTGTTTTCAAAACAGTTGAATGTAGCCAGAAAGTATGAAGAACAAGTAAGTGGTAGTCACTGGCAATAACATCTCTGGCAATAACATGCAAAAAAAAAGTCATTTAACTTTGGTTTTGTAATTTGGTAAATCCTCTTTCATGATATACCGAAGTAAGTCAGGTAAGTGGAAATTTGCAAATACAATAGTTTCAAAGAGGGTAACCAAATGGCAGTCTGCTGTGGTCATACATAAGCGGCCGTGAAGCTGCAGCTGGCTGTTGGCTCTTCTCTTAAATTATGTCAATTCCTGTCCAACTAGTTGATCCACGTAGTCTCTCTGTGAAAGTAACTGCATTAAGTAAAGTTGAAAGGAACCCTGACTCAAGCTGTTAATGAATGACAGTCCATCTTTCCAATAAGTCATGAGCTGTTGAAGCTTAGTGGAGGTGTTTTGTAGTCTTTTTGAATGCTACATGCAGGAGCACACAGGTGGGTGTCTATGGGAGTGAACTGGTCTGTGCTTGCATCGCTGTGGGAGCACTGCCCACGGTCCGCTGGGAGGAATGAGGGACCAGTCGAACTGGACTTAAAAATTCTGAAATCTTATGTGCCCAGAATGAAAAGCTAAGCCAAGATTGTGTTTTTGAAGTTGCAGCTGCCACTAAAGGAGGAATTTTGGTTTACTTTATTAAAAAGGTGACTTCACAGAATGACAGGATGTTGGGGCTTAGAAGGAACCTCTGAAGATCATCTAGTCCAACCCCCCTGCCAGAGCAGGTCCACCTAGAGCCGGCTGCACAGGGTGGCAGCCAGGCGAGTTTTGATTGTCTCCAGAGAGGGAGACTCCAACACCTCTGGGCAGCCTGTGCCAGTGGAGTTCATTTTTGCGTGGCGTACAACAGATCAGTATTAAACCGTTGGAGAGATGAGCAGATGCAGCATGTGCTCTCCAGGCTCTCCTGACTTGGGCTCCTGTGGCTTTTCCAAACAGCTGGCTCAGAAACCCGTTTATTTTAGAGATGAAGGAAAAGCGGGAGAGTTCATTTGGCATCAGCAATAAATTCTGTCTCCTGCAGTGGTGTTAAGGTGACCCTTCTCAGACAGGAGCTGTACAAATCCTGTTTTACCTTGTGTTTCAGGAAAGGAGGAGGAGCTTTGGAGGGTTCCATGGATCAGGGCATGGGCTCATTGACTGTGCTGCAGGCAGTCCTGCCCATCCTTCCATGCTTGCGCCTGTCTCTGCTGTTTCGAAACAAGTCTGTGCAGAGCAGGATTTTGAATCATTGAGGTTGCACTGGGCGTTCAGGGGTGCTGATGGATTCTCTTGTCAAACAGACAGGGTCGTCACAGAATGACAGAATGTCAGGGGTTGGAAGATCATCTAGTCCAACCCCTCTGCCAGAGCAGGATCACCTAGAGTTGGTCACACGGATGCTGAGGTGGTATCTCTGGACTATGGTGCTTATCAAACTGGTCACCTTAGAAATAGGTGCTTTGGCTGCCTCAGGCCCAAAGCTCTTGTTTCAGAGCAGTATTTGGGCACCCAGGCTTGACTCTGAACAGGGCTTAAATACTCCTGCACCTTGACGAGTGTGTGAAGTTGCTGTTTGCTCAAAGGTGTCCTGGTTGTAACCTGCCGTTCTGCTTTGCCTGTGTTTTATGTGGCAATCCTTCACAAAATTCTGGGCACAGGAGTCGGTAGTTCCTTGAGAGACTTGGAGGCAGCAGCATCCCAGCCTTAGGAGGTTTTTAACCAGCCAGCAACTGGAGCCCTGAGCTGGCTGCTGAATTTTCGTCTGCCCCAGTACGGTACCAAGCAGTGGGAGCAGCTCCTGGGGCACAGCCTGTGCGAAGGGGCTCTGGAGGTGGTTCAGCACTCAAGGACCGGGGCTAGGCTCACTCTCATAGGCAGTTCATAATCCCACAGGAGGCAATGAGAGAGCACACCTCAATTTCTGGATTGATTTCTAAACCCAGTTACCCAGCAAGGTGGGGAGGAAAGGTGGGGGGGGTTAAAAGGCTGCTAGATGAGGCTTCAGAAGGGAAGGGTGAAGTTTCACATCGCTAAAACTAAACATCTGACACATTCTTACCCACTCTTTAAGCACGTTTTCCTCTTGTATCCCTCAGACCTCAAGGAGTTTTTTGCTTAGTCACATGCTGTGCCACGGGAAGGGGATCATTTGTTAAAAAAATGCGTTAAAAGAAAAGGTGCTCTGCAGTGCAAGAGTGAGAACACAGATGTTTGCCTTCCTGACAAACATTTATGGGTACAAAGACTAAATCCACCACCTAAAGAATTACACAAGAGTGCTCAGATTTTATTTATAATGGTTTGTTGTTTTTTCTCTCCTTTTAGTCAAAATCCCTTTCTAGTGGCTGCATTTGGAGCTTGCTCTCTTACGAGGCAGTCTAACCACCAAGCCTTTCAAAAATTTGGACGTTCAATGACCGCCTCTGACATGGTTTCAGAAGTTGGAACAGCTTTTAACAAACTTTTTGAAACCTGAAGCCAAAGCAGCAGGGAAGAAGAAAAGCAAGAACACTGACTGCAAGAGTAATTACATTTACCGTAGAATATACATAAGTAATGCACCCTTTCAAGTGCTGTAGCAGCATTGGTATGCTAGGTAGAATTTTTTTTTATTTTTAAGAATAGAAAAATATGATTAATGTAGATATTTTTTAAGAGTTTGGAATACAAAAATGTTTTGGCTGAAATAAGCTGTAGTTGCAGATCTGTTATAATATAATAAAACTAAACTGAAAGTATTCCTCTGTTCTTTTTGATAGTTATTGAGCAATAACTAAAGTGTGAACAGCAAAAATAAAAATAAAATGCACTTGATATTTAGATGAAATTCTTCCACCAGCTCAGCTGAATTTCTTGGATTGCACCAAGGTTGTCATGTTTTCATTCTTAGACCCTCTGTCTAGAATTAGCTATTGCACCTCATTTCTTGCCCTGCTAGTGTATTAAGCAGCAGAAAGTAAGCCTCTTTGGAAAGGGAATGCATGAGAGTCGCTGTAGATTTTTGAATGTAATTAGTTGCCTTTTCCCATTCCCAGTCCCAGAGGCAGTGCTCATTTTGACAAGACACCCCTTCCCACAATGTCTTGGTTGTTTTTTTTAAAAAGGTCTCCCTATCGCAGAATAAGGATAGAGTGTAGGTATCTTAGCGTTAAACAGGAATCATGCTTGCCTGAAAAAAAATATAAAAATCTATTCCTTTAGCTGGCCTGGATTCGTTTAGAACTCACTATGATGAACTTCGTGAAATTCTCATTGAGGGGTACTAGGCAGGGCTAAGAAACTTACTTAGTGATACTGAATGGAACTGCTCAAACTCTCAGTGGTCAGAGAGCAGCGAAGTGCTTTTAAAGCTCACGCTGTGTCGGCACACGGAGTAGCCCAGCAGGAGCACACCTTGAAGAAGCATGAGGCAGGCGATAGCACACACCTGTGCCTGCCGAGCGCTGGGCAGGAAGAGAAAAATTAGTTCCAGGTGTTGGAGCTCCAAGCACAGCACCTGGGTATAACGGTTTGGGTTTGGGGTTTTTTTTTTGGGTCATGCCATGGCAATACAAGATGGGTACGGCTGTAACAGCAGAAGTCCTGTCTGGCCCCTTGGCAGGGCAGAGGAGCAGCGATGGGTAGAAAGGGGAAGTTGTGTGGAGTTTTTGCACGATTATAATTTCTTAAATTTTTGGCAAGGCAGGCAAAGCTTGTAGGGGTTGAACCAAGATAATGGAGAACAGGGCAAGTTCATCCAAAATCCATTTAAGCGGGTGCCGCCCTTAAACCTATGCGCCAGCTCCCAGTGTATATACTCATTAAAGCGCAGGAACAAGCATATAACAGGTCTGGTTATTGCAATAGCTGTTATAGATCCTCCGCAGCCACTCTTTTCCAGTGACATAGCTCCAGCTTGTCACACACCCCCGTGGGGCTCTGTTCTCGGCCCTTGCAATAGCTGCCCCCAGAAAGCAACTGGAATCAGAAAGGCTGCTCTGAGTATTTCCCTTCAGCCCTTATAGTTGGCATTTCTGGATGCACTGTGACTACTACCTCACCTCGATGCATTTTTGTTGTTTGTTGTTATTATTTTTTCTTTTTAAAACCAGTTACCTATTTTTAAAATAGGTTTTTAAATGTTTGCTCGTTTTGGGTCTATGAGGGTTCACAGACTTTTTAGATTAGAACAACATCTACTGATACGAGATGGGGTTTCGGTGTTTAATTTAAACAGTTTTGTAAACTGTCTGCATCGTTGGGGAAAAAGTAAGCTGTTGTTGTTTTTTCCCCCCCTAAAACTTTGAGAAGCCTGACTCTAAAATAAATCAGGATGTTAAAACTGATTTTAAAACATCTACTGGACTTCCTTTTAAATGAGCATTTTTTGGCATTCAGAACGTCAGTGGTATTACAATCTAAACGGCAGTTGTAGGCGAAGTCAATCAGTTGACAGAACTCAGTGCAGATTTCAACCTGCCGTGTTGGTTTTAAATCTACACCGAAGTTGTAACTCTGTTATTCACTACTGTATACAGATTTTTAAACATTCTGGAAATGTAGCAGTTTCTTTTGGTAGGAAATAAAAATAATAGCAAATTAATCCTGTGGACCTTGTCTGGTGTGTTCTGATCACGTTTCCCATGGGAAGTCGAGGTCTTTGCCATTTGTTCCAGCCTGCCAGAGCAGTACAGCCCACGGGCACGTTTAAAGCCCACCACTGTCACGGCCGCACCAGCCCAAGTGCTACTGAAGACACCGCCCCGCATCTTCCTGCCCCGCATCTTCCCTCCCGGTACCGATGACCAGAAAGGGAGCAGAGAAACAGCCGTGTGCTTTATTCTCAGCAACATAAAAGAAAGCCTTTATCCTTTTGACCAGATTACTTGGGCGAGTTGTATTTTGCACGCGAAATTCCCTGTAGCTGAACCCGTGTTCTTATGTTTATCTTCTCCTACGCTGATTTAAAGTGGGCCCCACAGAAACTCAGTCCGTGGCACACAGGTCACCTCATGCATAAGGCAGGCCTCTCCCCATCTACCCCCAGCCAAAGCATCCAGAGGATGTTCTTTCTAACACAAACACAGCACAAACGGAACAGGTAATAAATATCCTCATTGTATCTTCCCAGTTCTGATGGGGAGATCCTGAGAGTGCTGCTCTCGCAGGGCTAGGGAAAGCTCAGTGTATTCTGTGCAAAAGCAAACTGAAACGAGACCAAGCCTTACAGGTAACTGGATACTCATCATATTACGGGTAAAGATTTCAACAGGACCAAAACCAGCAACTCTGCGATAAGGAAATACTTCAAGACCAAAAGCATCACCTCCTTCACTGCGGGCATAAAACCAAGTGTCTCTACTCTCAAAGCCAGGCCCGAGTTCTTGCCCCTCGGCTGCTGTACCGAGGGCTCCTGTCGGACAACGCAGCTGCTTCCACACTGTCCCGGGTGGGGGATGCTCCCAGCCCCTGCGCTGCCTCCACACCCCCTGCCAGGCCTCTACGTACATACCAAGGAGCGATGTCAACAGATTTGGTCAGGTTATGCTGTAGCATTGTCAGCCATTCTGTTCCCAAGATTTTATTTGGAAAGTATTAGTATTTACAACTGTTGCCAAAGCAGCCAAAATTAAAAACAAACAAACAAACAAACAAAAAACCAAAGCCGAGTAGGGGTGAAGGATCATCTTTTTTTCTCAGCCTGCTGCTCTGCTTGCCTGCCTTCCTCAATCTCCCAGGTTGAACCAGCAGCTCGGTCCTGTGAGAAGGAATAAAGTGGGTCAGCCCCGGCGGTCTGGCTCACACCAGCACCGTACGCACCCGGAGGTGGCTGGACATGCAGGTTTTTTAACCAAGCTTCATGCAGCAAAACTATTAACCGAGAGAGGTGGCCATCCCATCTCGAAGGAGTGCCGCTGTTACTAATAATCCTCAAAGCTGTAAAACAAACCCAGACAATTCTTCACAGTTAAGAAGGAAAAATAAACCCACCACAGAAACATCACTTCTTTAGCGCGGGGTGCTGTGGTGGTGTGACATCTCTCCCCTATGAGTGAGTTCTGTTAAACTCAGGCAATCACATTTTCATGTTTAAATGGCTCGTGTACATGGAAAACTGCTCTTGCTACAACCGGTAACATGAGAATGTATCACCTAAGATATCTGATCTCTTGACTTTTAGATAGCAGCCTGTTGCTGTAAATACCTGTAAGACGGTACTTCCATATTTTTAAAGAGAATATTAACAGTCAGAAATGCTCAGTTTGACTGTAAGATCTCTAGCTGCTTGATTGCAGTTGTTGAAAACAAAAAACCTGAGTATTGAGATATGACTATGTTACATGAGCTCTGATTTACGTGAGACTGGAATACAATGTAGAAATTTTCTTAAAATGAAAGCTGGTTTGATGCGTGAATACTTAATTACTGCATTTCCTGTAGCAGCACAGATTAGTTCACGTTTCGAGCACGCCATAAGGACATGAGAAGACTGGTGGATATTTTAATCCGTTTGCTGCAAGTTCTGTAACTTCAGAAAAACAACATCATCTACGTTGAGCAGCATGAGACAGGAAATGAGTGTACAGAAATGACCGAACTTACAAGCTGAAGAAGAAACTTCCCTTTCTACAAAGCTGATTTTTAAGAGAATTAAGTTACTCGCATTTTCTAAGCTGCTACTTGCACCATAGAGCAGCCAACCCCTCTCTGCCCAGTCCCAAACCAGGGGTGGAGATGAGGCTTGTCTGCTTCATCCATTCTGCTGTACGAAATAAACTGAATGAGCTGGATTCTAAAGCCATTTCTAGGCTAAGACTAATTTCTAGGAGGTTATTAAATGCCCCTATGTCCCTTTAAAAACAAACCAAACCAAATCTTCAAAAGGGTGGAGGTAGGGCTGTGGCTGTTTTGCCAAACAGATCAAAAGAGAGGAGTCTTCTCCAGGACTGTGTCTTTGTGCACTTGTCTGAATTTGCAAACTTTCTTGACACATAAGCAGAGCAAGAATTTAGCTACAAACAAGTTAAGGAAGCAGATGTTCCAGCTCCCCACAGTCTTCCTTTGCTTTCACAGCTGTAGCTCTGCACCACTGCGCTTTGGCCCTCACCCCAGTTTGGATCAGCACGCTCCCTTTCATCTGAGATTGTGAGACAGCCAACCACGCCTTGTATTTGCTTTTAATAGGTGTGTTGGCAAATGACAGCTCTCACGTTCAGTAAAAAAGAGGATTATTCTGCACCTCAGGGGCAATAGTGACCCAGCAAGGGCTGGAGTGGAGGTGAGAAGGGCAGTGAAGCAAGAAGCACTGGAGGCAGCAGGAGTCGTTAAAGTCATCTAAGCACCCTGAAACCAGGAGGAGCCAGTGAAGGGATTTCTCTTGAGCAGCAGACACTGTGGGGATAATGGGAAAGAACAGTGGCATTAGATATAGGCTAAAAGCAGCAAGCTAAAAAGTGGAAAGAAGAGCAGTAGAGGAATCATGCCAAGTACTTATGGCTCAGGATCAGTTGGGAATGGAGCTGCTGAAGACGAAGAGGCTCTCTCATGAGGACTTACTTCTGGTGGGGGAATGTGGGGAGGGTAGGGGGAAGGCATTATTTTCATAACTCATGTCAGTTTACTTTCCCGTTCCTCTAGTCTTGTTAAAGCTTGCACACATTTCTCAAACCTTTCCTTCTGGACTGAACTTGGGATTTCTGAATATTAGGGGATTTTCAGTGGGATTAGGGGATTTTCAGTGGCTGAACAGCACACCCTGAGTAACTGCAGAAGGAGGTACAGCCTGCGCGGATACTCGAGGCTGAGGGGGAGCAGAAGACGGGGCCGGCAGTACA